TTTGTTTTATTCCAAGTGTACCAAGATATTTGAAGCAGAGACTAAAAATACTTGGTGAGATTTTGTTTTTGCAGTGTGGAGGGAATGAGAGGAAGAGCAGAGGTCTGGGGTTATGGCAGCAGGCTGCCCTCTAATCTGATCAGCATGCTGCTGGGTGGGGCCTCCCGCTCGCTGCACTTTCACAATGAAACTCGGAGCGCCGCAGATCACAGCAGAAGCGACTTAAACATGACCGTCGCCTTGGAAATATTCACTTTATAGCTGCTTAATGGCGTCATCACCCGGTAACAGTTGGAGAAAGCGAGGGAGAGTGTGAGTAACCTTTGTTCATCTTTTTATTTTAGACGATTCCAGAGGAAAAAAGTATAAATTACAGCTCAACTCTTGTCGTTTTAGTTTATAAAATCCTCCTAAAGTTGTCAGAAGTAATGGACTTCATTGCAGGATGAACTTAAATTCAGTTTTTGTGGCTCACCTGAAGAGTTAGCTGTATATTTATATTTAGATGTGTTCCTCCCAGTGTGTGAGTGTTGAGTTAATATTTACACTCCAGCCTCAAACCTCCCATCAGGTGATTTCCATTAGCTTTTACAGGCGTGGAGAAAAAAGTAATCAGAAAGGAGAGCTGGAATTAGAACCTGTTGGATTACTCTCCATGTCGAAAGAGAAAATTAAACCTGGTTTTTGTCTGAGGGCTTTAAGATCTGCTGGGCTGGAGTTTTCTTCTTTTGTTCCAACGACATGCTGATTTCCTGAACCAGCTGCATCATTTTGTCTTATTTTACCTGAAATATTAGGATATTTGTAATGAAATAAAGTTGACAGCATCAAAAGGAAACATTTCTGTGTCTTCATCTACATGGTTTTGAAAAAATGCAAACCTGCTTTTATGCGTCACCCTTCCTTGTTCCTGGTCCTCCTCTGCCAAGTATGTTTGGTTTGACGCCAGCAATGACAAACCTCTCTACCGGTTCCTCCACCTGCTTTATGAATGAGATCCTTCTGCCCACACGCTGCATACGGCAGGAAGTTTGACATTTAATTCAATTTGTGGTGGAATGAAAACATTACAAAAGGAATCTTGTTTCGGTTCATGTTTAATTTACGTCATTTGGCACGTTAGATAAAAATGTATAGAAAACCTTGAAATTAATTAAATTAAATTTGGATTTTGGTGCTGTAGCAAACTGGGAGCAACTCCCACCACCCCCAGTTATGACTTTGTGTTTCAATATGGCCGCTTCTCACATCAGCAATTGTAACCTGTATCAAAAACATGTTTACTTTTCAGAACAGACATGTAAAAGTGAGTCTAAAATTAATGTTACATGTGGCGCCTCCAACTCTAAACTGGACAAGTAAAAAGTGATGTTTGCCTTAGAAAGTAAAGCTTAAATTTACGTTTCTTTTTTATTTATTTATTTATTTTTTAAATATTTGTGGGTGTCGCCATGTTCAAATTTTGAATTCTCTAATCTTGGGTCTGACAATTTTGTTTGGCCAAAACAAACGCATAATGGAGCAGCAGTCAGTATGTGTTTACATTTGTGATGGTAGGAGAGAAAAGACTCAGAAAGAAGCCTTTTGGGTGGCGTCTCGTAGTTCTGATGGAAACTTATTGTTTTTGTAAGTGTGGATTTGATCAGGTGATCAAATCATAGTTTGAGATATTTGGCAACAAAAAGACGACAGACCTGATGGTGACTCCAAATATTAACATTCAGTTTCAGATGCAACAGAAAAGGTCAAATATGTCGAGGGACATTTCAGATTCGCCATTTTTCACCCAACTCCCCCATCGTAGCACTCTGCTGGGATTATGTGGTCCGAGGGAATCCAGGGGCTGTTTTCCTTCTAAATTTGCTGCGTAGATGGATTTTAAATATCGCTTTCATGTCTAAGATTATTTTAATGCTGTTGTGAGTTGGAAAAGGCAGATTCTTGGAAACTGCATGTCGGTTTTTTCTTTTTGGGATCTCAGAGTTTGAGCTTTGAATCTGATGTTTCCAGCTCACCTGGTAACTTAACAGAGGTAAATAAACCAGAATATGATGCAGCACAGCAAAAACATAAAATCTGACCAAGTAATTTTCTTACAGTTTCTACTTCCAATATCTTAATACACTTAAAATAAAACAAAACTAACTTATAGGTCACTTTTCAACAAGAAACAGGAGCTTGTCTTTAGTCAGTAATTCCTTAATATTGATGGATCCAGAACTTTTTCCATTAATATTAAAGAATTACTGAATTAAAACAAACTCATATTTCTTGGCAAATAGTTACTTGTTGTTTTTTATTTCAAGACTATCAAGATATTTGAAGCAGAAACTAGACAAAAATTCTTGGTAGGGTTTTGTTTTTGTGGTGAATCTACATCTAAATGATAAAGTTTAAATCAAATACAACGAGCTTTTTTTTCCACATTTAATCTCTGACAAGAACTAAATCATCTGCAATCGTCGTCGAGTTTTACGCAAAAGTCAGATATTTTTTATTAACAGCAGCCGTAGTTTCTGTGCAGCTGTGTGACTGTGTGTGTGTGAAGTGGTGGATCTGGATCCCTGTGGTTCTCCGGGCGGCCGTCCAAACTCTCACAGATACCTTCTTCAGGCCAAGCAGCGTCCCGTTGAGATGTTAAGTCTGATTACAGCCTCAATTTGGCAGTTTTTTAGGATGTGAGGTACTTGGCGCCGGGTTCTGGCAGCTGCACAGACGGCCGTGTAGCGAAGGAGTGTTTGGACCTTTTAATCTGCTGCTTTCTGACCGAGACCCGACTGTCAGCGGTGGCTTTTAGCTTCAGTCAGAGAGAGAGTGGAGCGTTTAAAGACCCCAGAGGTCTGCAGCGACGCTTGGCTGTTGCTTTCCACCAACGAGTAACACATGTCTTCTGTATCACAACTGCAGCAGTCATGAGATTGTGTTTTAGTTCTTTATTCTTTATTGTATAATGTCCTTTTGAGGTTCATTAAGTGGCAAAAAAAGCAACATTTTGAAGAGTGTTTTGATCTGAACACGAGGACAAACCCAGATGTGAGATTTCACCCATTTAACAATCCAAATACCGTCGGCAAGTTCATCATTAACGTCGTGTTAAAGTCACACATGAACGGCGCCACAAGAGTCAAGTGGCTTAATTGTAGCTTCACCTGTTTCAGCTTCACTAAAGGAATGTCATGTTATAGCATTTTGGGCAATAAAATGTTTATTTTCTCACTTAAAAATGAATTATTTGTTTATTTGTAACTTTTAAAGTATTTCTAATATTGTATATAAAAGATGGTTGAAAGAAAAATCTGTGCCATTTTTTAAAATCCAATTAATTGTCATAATAATTGATGGATAAATCAATTAGTTAAATAATTGTTAATTGTAGCCCTAATTCTGGGTTTTCCTCCAGGCACATATGGCTGTGATATTTAACTTGTTTAAGTCAAGTTTAAGAATAAAGACCCTGGTCCAAATATTTCAGTTTTGATGTAAAGCGAATATTTACTCTGACTGTTCCAGTTTCTCGTCTCGCATGAGGATGAAAGCGTCAGTCGAATTATTTTACTCCAGAAGCCAAACTGTGTGTGTAAACTCCTGATTAGAGCTTTATATTGTTGGGAAACCTTGCAGATAAACCAATTAATTCCTGGTTTGTCTCTGTTGTCACGCTGTGATTGGTTTAGCCTGCTTTGAGCCGCCTGCTGTGTTGCTATGGCTGTGATGGGCCTTTCTGTCAATAACAGAGTGGAAATATTCTGCTGTGTTTGAACCCGACTTCTGTTGCTCCCAGTAGACGTCAAACACAGACTGGGTCAGCTGGTCGCTCTCCTAGACCCGTGGCATGGGGTTTTATTCTTAATTACATCATTATGTAAGTGTCTGTGTTTATATATCAGGGAGTTATTCCTCTCCTGCCTCTTGGATGCAGCTCTCTTCTTCCTGAGCAGGAAGAGTTGGAGAAGTAAATATGGCCTCTGGATCAAGTCTGACCTGGTTCTGTTGAATGTTTGTGTGCCGTCTGCAGGAGCGTACCAGAGACGACCTTTGACCTCCGTGGAGACGTCCACAGTGGAGCGCCCCTGCCCACCAGCAAGGTACCAAACATTTGTTTGTTCCTGATGTTTGACTAAACGTTTCAGCAAAATTAGGCCATGGAAGCACTGACACTTAATTATAGTTAAACTTCTGCACAGTGGATGCAATTCTTTAATTATGTTCCCGTTTATTTGATGCAAATTACAGAGATGATGATGTTCGAAATAACCATCTCTACTGGAAGGTGAAAAGTTGCGTTTTAATAAAGCAGGAAGTGTATAAGACAACATTTTACTTATTCTGGATTTAATTATTGGAAGAAAAATGTAAACGAGCAGAAAACATGATTGCAATTATAGGAATTGACAGCCTCTCTTCTTCACATCCACTGAAGGAAAATAATCAGAAATTTATCTCGTCGTCAACAAAATTAGCAAGAAAATAAATTAATTTTAGTCTAAAATTGCACATTTTTACCTCTGTCACCAGCTGGACGTTCCTCAAAGCTTTTCAGGAACAAAATTCAAAATGTCATTTCTATCATTTATTTCCTCAGAACTTACAAATATCAACTAGAGCTGAAATGATTAATCAGGTTATTCATGATTAATTGATTATTGAAATGATTGTCAACTAATTTAATAATAAAGGCAATAAAAAAGGAATTGAATTATTAATTTGCATATTTTAACGTTTTGCCAATATTGTATAAAACAGAATCTGCCGTTTTTGTTCAAAATGAGATTAATCGTCAGAATAATTGTTAGTTGCAGCCCTAAAATCAACCTGAATTAATTTAAAAGTTAGCACCGTTTCTGTCATTTGGTTGAGTTTAAGGTTTATTATTACAGTAAGAATTAAACTGTCTGACTTTGAGCTCCATATGTAATTTATAGGTAGAATAATGTAGATTTATGGAGTTCTAAATATTAATTTTAACATTTTTACACCTTCTAAAAATGTCTCTCTTTTGATCTCTTAAAGTAAAATCCTGCTGAAGTTGTTCTTTGTTTGCAGAGCTCAGGGAAACTGGAGATGGAGCGAGGCATGGTGAAGCCCATGATCCGAGGAGAGCAGCAGGACAGCAGGTCAGACGCCATCTTGCCTCCTTCTCTCACTTTAACCCGTCGTGTCTTCCAGGCGTTTTCTTCCAGTGTTGTCCGTCCCTCTGTCTCAACAGATCCCAGGATCTTTCTGCAGACAGGACGGAGCTGACTCTTCCAGCCAGCATCGACTTCAGAGAAAACTGTGAGCATCAATAACTGGAAACTATTGAGCCTTTTCCAGTCAATGCCAGTCTGCCCTGACTGAAGGGTTAATGTCTGTTTACCAGAAAGCATTTTTGCCTCTAATTCCACAGTTTGTAAGAGAAAAGAGTGGATTATTTCAGTCCAGAAAGCCTTTCATTTGAGGTTTTGATGAAATTTAATCAAAATCTCAAGCTTTTACCCCCCCAAATGTACAAAAAACATAAACAAATCTCCTCCCTACCCACTCCAAAGAGACTTCTGTGAGACAGAAACAAGAAGCCAAAGGGTAAACATTTATAACATGTTAGCTAAGAAAATATCACGTTCACTGCAAAACAAAATCTTTCCAAGTACTTTTAGTCTAGTTTCTAGTGCATAACATCTTACTACACTTGAACAAACAAAACCAACTTAGAAGTAACTTTTCGTTGAGATATAAGATCTTCTTTTGAGTTAAATTCCTTTAAAGTAACTAGTTCCACTTTTCAATGTTATACGTGTAATAATTTCATTGATATTAGGTAGGGCTGCAACAAACTATTTTATTAATCAATTAGCAAGCTATAGGAGTTTGTTTTAAGTCCATAATTCCTTAATATTGATGAAAAGCACCGACTGATTATTTCACCTACAACATGGGGGAAAATGTCTTGTTATAAATGAAATAATCCAGCAGTTGATCTAGTTAATTTTTCATCAATATTGAGGAATTATTGACTCAACAAGCTCCCATTTCCTGCTAAAAACTTACTTGTAGGTTTTTGTCCTACTACAGGTGTATTAAGATATTTAAATAATCAATTAGACCAACAACTCTTGCGAAGATGTTTTTTCTCTCCAGTGTTTTCATTGAAGAATCAAAAAATTGTTTCCAGAGTAACTTACTTCACAATAGTGAGTCCTAGAGACGATGTGCAAGCCTCACCTTTCTCCACATCTCGACCGTTAAGCTAAGCTACATCCAATAATTTAGCTGTCAAAATGTTCCTCAGTTATTTACCCCACAGTAGCGACTTGATGCCAGTCCTTTAAGCAAATTGTTTGCATGTGGTGGATGGAAGGGAAGCTAAACAGTCAGTCAGTCAGCTGCAGTCAAACCGTCTCTCCTTGATTTGCCTGGAAAAACAAGCTGAAGCTAATTATAGAGGCTAAACGTGTAGGAGGAGCAGTTATTGATTTAATGTGATCTGTGGACGTTTCTCACCGACAGAAGCTGCATAATCTGTCAGTAGATGAACTTTATGATCACAAACAGCAACAATCACCTGGGTGACCTGAACCAATTATTACATGATTTGAGAGCAATAAAAGTTTCCTGTGCTTTATAAAACAATGGAAAGGCTGATTAACGGTTTTAGGTTTCATATATATAGTTAAATTTTATGGCTCTAATTTATATTTGCCTTTTTTAAAGTCAGTGTTTTGATGTTCTAGTCCCAACGGAGCTAAAAGCGGGTTTTTCTGACGCCGGGTGTTTCCCACACTCGGCGTAGCTCAAAGCTCCCTCGGCTGTTTGCTTTTTCTTTGTTCACCTTTGTGTTTGTTGACCTTCCTCAAGCTTTTGTGTGCACTGCATGCTTGGCGTAGTGTGAGCTCATCCGCTTCTGCAGGCACAGGAGGGTTTCAGCCACTCATACCGAGGTGCAGACCTGCATACCCACAATGCACCAGGAGTGAAATCATACACTCAGACAGGCAGTTTGACTGTTGGCGGTGACGCACCATTAAAGCCCTGCCAGTCGCTCTGCTCTGATCTTCAGGTTGTAGATGGTTTTAGACGGTGATGCTGAATAGCAGCTGCAGCCAGTTTCACTCGAATCGCTTTTCAAAGCAATTTAAACGTAAAGAAGAAGCAGATTTCAGCGGTGGCAAGTGGTTGACTGGAGAATCCCACATGGGAATGTTCAGCCAACATCAGAGGTGCCTTAAACCCAAACCGCAGAGTGGGAGCAGATCCCGTCGGTGTGGGCTGACTCCTGTGTGAAACTGCATCAGGTTCAGAAGGAAGGAGCCAGTCATGGTGATTCACAAAGTCAGATATTTATTTATTCAGTTAAATCTCAATAAGACACAGTTTGTCATTTTAAAGAACTTCCTGGATAAACTTTACTCAACTTTTAGTGTGTGGTGGGAGAGGAGATGCTCATAACTTACGACCAACAAATCTGCAGCAAGTTTAGTTTATGATGCTATTCTGATTATTTAGACCAAAATCTTTCTACTTTAATTCATTTTAATCGATGCAACAAAGATTTTGGGCAGTTGTAGAGGCTAAAAGAGGTTCCAACCCCAAACAGCAAACAAATGGTAATAAAAAAGAAATTTGGTACGATTTAAGATCCTTTTAGCACTGCAACTAATGATTGTTTTAGTAATTGACAATTCTACCGTTTATTTGGATGATTAATTCATTAATTAGATAAAAAAAATTTGGCACATTCTGCAACTTTTCCCGTGTTGTAGTATTTTCTTTAGTTGCAAAGTTGACCAATCAATCGTACACTAAAGGGATTCTTGTTGCATTTTAGGCAGTGAAATGTTTATCTACTTTAAAATGTTTTCTTATAAGAAAAGATTTAAAAAAAATCTTTATTCAATTTTAAAATATGCAAATGAACGATTCAATTCCTTCTTTAGATTGATCTGATTGAATATGCAGCATGCGCCCATTTTTTATACGATTAATCAATTAGATCAATAATCACATTAATTCTGTTTCCACTATATTTTTATATTTATTGAAATTTACTTTTACTATTTGTTTATTGTGCTTTCTTGCACAATGACAATAAAGGGTTTCTAATTTTATGATTCTGATGATTGATGGACTAATCGATTACTAAAATAATTTAGTTGCAGCCAAAAAATCTGCAGAATTTGCCGATTTCTTATACGATTAATCAACAAAACAAATAGATCTTTCCTGCCATCAGCATCTACAATGACTCTGAAGAATCTGAAATAATGAGTTACAACATTTAAATTCCCTTTGGGAGTCATAAAGTATTCTTGAATTTGAAAACGATTAATCGCCAGAATAAACGATTAATCAATAACCAAAATAAATGTCAGTTTATCCACTAAGCCTGAGGCGTAAATCGTGCTGATTTGATGGTGAAACCTGACTCCTGCTCCCCAGCGGAGGACACCTTCCTGTCAGCCATCATCAACTACACCAACAGCTCCACGGTCCACTTCAAGCTGTCGCCCACCTACGTCCTCTACATGGCCTGCCGCTACGTCCTGTCGCCCACGTACCGGCCCGACATGTCGCCGTCGGAGAGGACGCATAAAGTCATCGCCATCGTCAACAAGATGGTGAGCATGATGGAAGGCGTCATCCAGGTCAGTAACTCTCTCCTCCATGTTTGTTGTAATCATTTTCACCGTTTTCTGCTCCTGAGAGTCCGGCAGGTTCCCGCCATGTTGCTGTTTTTTGTTGAAATGTGGGCATTCTGGGTTTGCACATTAACTTTACTTACAAACTACACTTTGTAGTTGTAAGGTGTGTTTGCATTTCCTCGCCTGTTGCCTCCTTTACGCTTGGTGTTTTGTGTATTTCCCATCGGTTTTTAACGGCAAACGGGAAAACGGCAAAGAAATGCATGAATTTCTCTGAAGCGTCTGTTTGGATTTTAGTGTTTTTTATTTGATCTCACTGGCAGTTTTTCATTTTTATTTTTTGGTGTGCAGTGACTTTATTGAATAAAACACATCCTGTGGACATTAGTAGGTTTCATTTTAGTGGGATTTATGAAGATATTTCAACATGAGGCTGGGGACAGAAGATGAGAACCTGCACTTTTCTTATTATTTGGATGTAATAATAAGTTTATTAGGACATTTAAACTACACTTGCCCAACAGTTTTTAGTTCATTTCTGCAAAGTTGAGCACTTGAAAAGCTGCAACAAACCCAGTCAGAAATTTCTCAAAAGTATTTTAAGGGATTGTAAAGTTAGAGATTTAATTATCAACAATTTGGCTTTAAAATGTTAAAATTAAAACCTGTTTTTTTTTTCTTTTTTTATTTTGTTTTTGCTTCAATATGAATCAGATTATTTCACCTAAAACTTTGTGTTGTTGTTTTAGCAGTTTTCTTCATTTTAAATGACATTTCTGCTGATATTTGCATATTTTCTGTTGTTGGCACAGGTTTTTTAACGTCACATATTGTAAATTCTGTTTTTAATACACATTTTGTAAATTTTTAACTGATTTTATAGCCTTTACAGTACCATATATGACTCTTAATTTTTTTTAAAACATATTTTAATACTTTTATCTTGAATCTACATGCACTTATATCCGGTCACCTTCCTGCTGTTGAGATTCCTGCTGTTACGCCTGAATCTCCCCACTGTGGGGCAGTAAAGCATATTGAGATTCTTTTCCTAGTTCAGTTCTGAGCAATATTTCCTGGCAAAAGGTGGGGAAATAAAATATTATAGCCAGCTGTGTTTATAAATACAACTGCAATTGGCCATGCTGAAGCAAATGGTAGCAAGAAAAAGATTCACTTTGGGTTTTTATTCCAGTTCTTATTTGGCTTTTTGTTGTTGACATTCCCTGTATCTGTTGAAGTTTTAAATATATTTTAGAATAGAAATTTATTGTTCCGCCTTATGGTAAACAGAAGAAGTACAGCAAGGTCAGCTTTGCAACATAAGTTACTAAAAATTGCATATTCAGATATAGTAAAATGTCAACAGAGTAATTAGAACATTACTGTGTAAATAGCAGCAGTGATGGACAGACTTACTGAGTTTTTTGGGAGGCTGCTCCCCAAAAAACTCGTGGCATCTTCTGTGAGGAAGGACCTTCGATAAGGCTCCTTTGTGCACCTAGGATGCATGTTTTATCATTTTCCTGATAATTTCATCAATGTTTGGCATTGTGCTGAGTAGAAGAACCACTAAATGCTCCAAAATGTTCAGGTAGAAAATTAATTCAGCTAAAGACTTGGAACCAGAGCTTTTTGTGGGAAAAAACAAAAAAAATATCGTTGGACAGTTCAGCTTGAAACCCCACATTGTGAAAGTGATTGAACATGTGGATTAAATATCTTTAATGAAAAACCGGGAGAAAAACTCAAAAGAAGATCAGTTTCTGTATGAGTTATTATGTATCCTTCAGTTATGAATGACTTAAAGCTCATATAAAAGCTAAATGTCCTGAATAAGTGTCCGAGTTCTTCCCGTTTTAAATCGTAGTTCCATCATGTGTAAAATCTCGACGGTTTCTACGTTTTCCTGTCACGTCCATCAGTCCGATGTTCATGAAGTCATTCTGGGTTGCGTTGTGTAAACCATGTGTGAGCCAGAGTGTCTCTGTGTTGACATGCTGTGTCCATACTGTAGCTGTTGACGTGTTTTCTCTGTCCTGTAAACGTGTCCTCCTCTTCCTCCTCCTCCTCCTCTTCCACTTCCTTCTGTCCAGGAGATTGCTGAAGGGGATCAGGTAGGACATCACAACAGCACACCATGATATGGCTGCCAAAGACTTTCTCCTCTCTACACTGCCATTTCTCTCTGTTTGGGTTGGGCGATGTTGAGAAAAATCAATCATTATTCAATTTTAAGGTGTTTTTTTTTATACGTTTGATTGGATGTGGTGAAATAGGATATGAAGTTAATTGGTGGATGGTTTGGAGAAGACCAAAAAGATCGATTCAGTCAGTGTGTTGTATGCTGTACTAATATGCAACAAGTTGGTAAAAAAGATTAGTTGGGATAATTTTATTAGTCTTTATCCAAAACAGGAAGCAAACTATAGAAACCATTCATGCTAGCTTTAAAGCGCTAACCATAAACATTAGCTTAACACACTATGCCAACATGGTATTTAGCGGAAGCTAATGCTAAAGCGCTAACCTCAAATCAAATTATATCTGCCCTTAAAAAACTACTACCCTCAAGTCCCAATTTAATTCTGACATAATTTACCCGTTTGATAATTCTGAGGAAACAAACATTCTCTGTGTTTGTTTTTATTTTATTTTGTTTTATCTGTTTGAAATAAAGGTATTGGGGGAAGTGAAGAGGAAACAGAACTCCTGCGTAAACAGTCTTTGCCCCCTTTCAAAATAAGAGCATGGAATAAACGTCTAGCTACCTGAAGAATTTTTAAGTCTATAATCAAAACTTAAACACAGATGTCTAAGTTTATTCATCAGCCAAGTAAATTAGAGCTCTATAATTAGCTGGAACAATGAATTTAGGGGATGCTACGTTAGCAAAAAATGCTAAACGAAAAATTAGCTCCGCTATTGGCGCATTACCACTGCTAAATACGATACCAGGGCTTCCCACTGATGATGTGAAGGGTAAATTTCTTATATAAACTGCAATCCGAAAAACAGCATATGCACAATTTGGAGGTGTGTGCTCTTCCCCAGAGCTGGGAAGCCTTATTTTTCCTTCCAGTAGTCCAATTAGAGAGGAGCTGAAGCAAAGCCAACAGATCAAATCACAGAAGGGGGGAAAGTTTTCAAACATTTACTGAGAATAAAATCACATCGCTCAACCTCGTGAATCTTCTGCTTCCTTCACTCTTCTCATGTCTCTCTGTGCTTTGTTTTCTTAAAACCAGCCCATCATTGTTGCTGCTGCTCCTTTTATTTTTTTTTCTTTCCCATCCTAACAGAAATGTCAAAAAACCAAAAACAAACAAAAAACCAAAGCCATAACCACACGTCCTGTCCACAGCTGGAAAACTAAGCAACAACAGCAACAACAACCTGACTAATCTCATTTAGCTTCCTGGATCCTGCCTGGTACTAAAACAGCCAAATAAACCCAGAAAACCCAAAGCAAACCACTCTCTGTCACTGCTGCTCCATCTGTAACTCTGCTCTCTGGTCGTGTGACGTCTTGCTTCTCCACAGCATTGTGGACGAGAGATGAGTCGCGACCTCTGACCTCCTCCACCTCATCTGCTTTGTTTGTCTGTTTGGAAACTCACTGAACATGTTCATCTGTGTTTCAAACCTGGTTTTGTTTTGGATGCAACCTTTCATTCTCTGGCCGTCCTGAATGAAGGTTTATTTTACTTTGTGTGGTTTGTTTCCGAGGCGGGGATAGACGTGTGCAGGTCCAATCAGCTCCTCAAACATGAATCATAAATCCTTTTCTTTTTGTTTTTTAGTTCACTCTGCAAGCAACCAAGTTTGTTTTCAGGCTGTTTTGAAATTAAATTTGTTGCTGTTCTAGAGAAACACGGCAAATGTACTTGGAGTGGAACCAAAAGTATTTTTGATTTAATTTCTCGTGCAAATATCTTGGTACACTTGTTTTAACTTGCAAGCAAAGATGGCAGTTTGTTTTAAGTCAATAATTCCTTAATATTGATGAAAAATTGTAGTTATTTAACTTGTATCAAGACATTTCTCCCATGTTATAAGTGATATAATCTGCAGTGAAACCCGCACTTTTTCATCAAATTACGTAATTATTAACGTAACACAAAAATCTTGCTTAAAAGTTAGTTGTAAGTTAGTTTCTTGTGAGGGAATCGCATCATAACATGATATAAAGCTAAACTGAAGTTAATTTTAGACAAAACTGTCCCTTCAAATGTCTGCACACCAATAGAAAAGTGGGACCAAAGTCAAAATTCTTGCTTGGACAATTAAAATAATGTAATAATTCAACGGTATAAATGGTTTTGCAAGAAATTGTAGGTTTAAATAAACAGTAAAGAACAAAATGATCAAAAACAAAGAGATGACTGGGACAGTCATAAATGAACAGATTATTTCAGTTTGTCCTCTTTATATCTTAGTTTTTCCCTTTTTTTAATTTATTTTTTCCTAAATATATTTAAAAACACTGCAAAATCTCAAAAACTTACCAAGTATTTCAGGTATAGTTTGTAGTGCTAATATCTTAAATTGCTTGAAATAAATGAAAATTAATTTGCAAACAACTTTTCAGCAAAATATATGAGCTTGTTTTAAGTTAAATCTTTAATATAAAAGAAACTGCCAGTAGAATGAGATATTATAACTTATGTGAAAAATGTCTTGTTCCTCTGGCAGTTATTTCACTTATAGCCAATACTTTTTAATCAATATTAAGGGATAATTGATTTAAAACATGCTCCTTGTCTTGCTGAAAAGTTACTTGCAAATTAGTTTTCTTATTTTAGTGTATGAAGATATTTGCACTAGAAACCAGATAAATATACTTAGATTTTGTGTTTTTGCAGTGAAGATTACAGAAGATCACATTTTTCTCTAATAAATGGGATCAAAATGTTACTTTTAAACCTGCTGCCGTTAGGATTTAAGCTCCAGTATGATTTTATTTTTGCCGTAACCTGGAGGATTTGAGTGAATCCCGTCGTTTATGTTCTGCTCATTGCTTGCAGTGTGAACAGGTTTCAATCTGTGTCTGGTGACGTTTGTGACTGGAGTTGTGTGTGTTGGAGGGAAAAGGAGAGCTCGCCTTCCTGTTGAACTGTTAGGCTGTGTTGGAAAAGCAGTGGAGACGTTTTATTCCCCGATGCGACAGCATTGACCCATCTTCTTCTCGACGCAGGCTTGGGGCGTTTGAGGCATGAATCTATCTCTGAAGTAACAACTGCTCCTTCTGGCTGCCACTCAAACACAAACCTCCCTCTGTTTCTTACCGCTAACATCCGCGGCCTGCAGCCTGCAGCAGCGCTAACGGCTTCCTCTCCGTGTTTTTCTTTCTGTCTGTGTTTGTGGTCGTGATCGGTGCGTTTCCAGAAACAAAAGAACATCGCGGGAGCGCTGGCTTTCTGGATGGCCAACGCCTCCGAGCTGCTGAACTTCATCAAGCAGGACCGGGACCTGAGCCGCGTCACGCTGGACGCCCAGGACATCCTGGCCCACCTCGTCCAGATGGCCTTCAAGTCCGTTCGCATTTTACTTTACTCTTCGTTTCATTAATGTGACTCGTACATGTAGCTAAACTAAAATAAATATCAAAGAAAAGGAGCAGAAAGAGAATATTAGAAGAAAAAATTAGGAGACCACTTAAAATGATCAGATTTTACTTTTTATAGGTCTAGGAGTAAAATGAACATTGTTCTTTTGTTCTATGAACTACTGACAACATGTCTGATATTCCAAGCGTGTCGTTGATTATCTGTGTTGTTCCGTCAGGTACCTGGTCCACTGCCTGCAGGCGGATCTGAACAACTACATGCCAGCCTTCCTGGACGACCCAGAGGAACATAATCCACAGAGACCCAAGATCGGTAAGTTTAAGGACAAATTTAAAAAGTAACTTTTTAAAATACCACAGCAGATGCAGCCAGTGGTTCCCTCTTTTTGCACCGTTCATCGCTTTGCATCAAAAGGCTGCATTCAGATGTCATTCAGAACCGAGATAATTCAGCTAAACGGGTCGGGTTAGCACTAGCATAGACGAGGATGAGGAGGATGATGAAGAAGAAGGTAAGGAAAAGGAAAGTTTAATTTTTGCTTTCCTTTTCCTTAACTCCTTATTCTTCTCCATCCTCCGTTCTTCATCTTCGGTCTTCTTCGTCCTCCTCTTTTTCATCCTCTTCTACTTATTTTTTTTCTTTGCTTCTTTCTTTTTAGTCGTCTGACTTAACTTGGGTTTCTTCTTCGTCTTCATCTTTGCTGTTCTCTTCATCATCATCTTTGCCCTCTTCCTTCTTTGTCTTCTGTTTTTTTTTCTTGTTCTTCTTCTCCTGCTCTTCTAGGTTTTCTGTCATTGGGTTTAAGCTGAAAATCTGGCCAGTCAGAAGTTACCGCCCCCTGCTGACTATTACTGCCACTAATAAAAGAGCGAGCTCATATTTGTTAGCGAGAGCGAACAGATGAGTGGACGGAGCGCCATGCTGCGTTCGTGACCCCTCTAACAAATGGAAACGCCAAAGATCAGATCTGTCCGCTCTTGGTTAATATGATTCTTGGCAGGAATGTGACTCCGTACATTTCTCCCCAACAAAAACATAATTGGACTGATAGATTTCTGATTTAACGTCTCGTACTCTGAGCTCTCAGTGGTTCTGGACGTTTGCAGAGTTTCATCCGGGTCTCGTGTTTTTGTCTCAGAGGATGTCCTGCAGACGCTGACGGGCGCCATGTCGCTACTGCGCCGCTGCCGGGTCAACGCCGCCCTCACCATCCAGCTCTTCTCGCAGCTCTTCCACTTCATCAACATGTGGCTGTTCAACAAGCTGGTGACGGACGCCGACTCGGGACTGTGCTGCCACTACTGGGGCGCCATCCTGCGGCAGCAGCTGAGCCACATCGAGTCCTGGGCCGAGAAGCAGGGCCTGGAGCTGGCTGCCGACTGCCACCTCAGCCGCATCGTCCAGGTAAACTCTATCCGTCTTAAAAAATCATAAACAAATACCTGTTAGTTCAAGAGTTTTCATGGTTATATACGTAGCAAATGTTGATTAGCATCAATAAAAGTCCAGGAGAGTTTTAATGGTGCAGCTAGAGACGCATGCAGGGAGGAGAGAAGAGGAAGTTTATCAGATTTCTGGTCAGTTGGAAAAGTCTGAATTTATGTGTATGATTTTAAAGAGTTTGAAAAAAAAGTTAAAGAAAAGATTGTGATGCATTTTGCCTTTTTTGTCCCTGCAGGCCACCACCCTGCTGACCATGGACAAATACTCCACGCAGGACGTCCAGAACATCCACAACACCTGCTTCAAGCTGAACTCGCTGCAGCTCCACGCCCTCATGACCAACTACCGCTGCGCCCAGGACGAGCCCTACATCCCGCCCGTAAGCCAGCCGCCTGCCGGCGCCGCCTCCACCTCCGGCCGGAACCGGTTCTGGCAGTTCATTCTGTGCTTTGTGTCCAGGACCTGATCGACCACGTGGTGGCGGTAGCGGAGAACACGGCGGACGAGCTGGCGAGGAGCGACGGCCGAGAGGTGCAGCTGGAGGAGGACCCGGACCTGCAGCTGCCCTTCCTGCTGCCAGAGGACGGCTACTCCTGCGACGTGGTGCGGCACCTTCCCAACGGGCTGCAGGACTTCCTGGAGCCGCTGCTGCAGAGGGGTACGCCTGACTCTGCTACTGTCTCCATCTCACTATCCATGTCTGTCTCTATTGCTCTCTATCTCAGTCTATTCATCTCTCTCTCCCTCTGCCTCTCTCTCTCTCTCTCTCTCTCTCTCTCTCTCTCTCTCTCTCTCTTTCTCTTTCTCTCTCTCTCTCTCTCTCTCTCTCTCTCTCTCTCTCTCTCTCTCTCTCTCTCTCTCTCTGTCT